CCGTTTGCTTCCGGGCTCTCATTACTTCTAAGAGCATTTGAAAGTGTATGAACACAAAGTCTAATCCTTGTTTTTGGTGTACACATTACGATGATAAAGCTGCTGAGTTTGGACTAGGCTTTTGGAATTGTCCATGTGTTGCAATGAGAGAGAGGTAGCAAGTAGCTCTATGTGGCTGCATAAGCATATTGTGTGTGTTAGTTATATAAGTAGAACTAAGCATATGGGAAACACCAGTTATATGTTATATTAAGCTGAATTGTCTCCAGCTTGTTTATGGTTATTAGTTGGATAGAATTTAGCAGCACATGCACTTTCACTTTCCATACCGATGTCACCATTGTATCATGATTGATGCTGAGGATGTATACACCAGATTGCTTCAATTCTATAGTAGCTCTTTCGTAGACTGTTGGCATATTTGGCCCGTTTTTTGTGGTTCAGAACGTAGCTTATTAGGGTCTTTTAACAAGTACATATATAAATGTGAAAATGTTGGCACCCTGACTTGATTTTCTTTTGACAGATAAGGACATCGTTGAAGAAGTCAGGAACACTGCAACGGTAACTAGTCTTGGTCATGCGGTTTAGCGTGGCTAAGCTCTGATTCCTCCACAGTGGCTCTGTCTTGTCTTTTCTCATCACAGGTATGTAACATTCTCTTTTTTTCAACCCTGTTTCAGTGATTCTCTGTGCTGGAAAATAATAATCATCGCAACTTTTAAACGGAACAACATAAGCATTACAGTTTCAGTAAACATGAGAACAAGTGGGTGGTTTTTGGACACTAATATTTGCAAGCTTCACACTGCTATTATTGTTTTTCTTGTGATGATTCCTTTCCTACCATAATGTCTACCATAATATTTCCATTATGTCTGCTGCAGCTTCCCACTTCTCTTGACCTTTATCTCCTGATGGTTCCAAAATTTTTCACACTTCCATTATATTTCCACCTTGCTTTGCTTTGAGTTTGAGCAGTGTAGCTACCCACTCGTCTCGACCTCTACCATATAAAAACGATCCTAACAGTCTGAAAGATGTGACTTCATACACATGCTTCACTCCGGCGTCAACAAGCATATTCTTGTTCTGGCTAATAAGAATGATTCTGCTTCCTGGAGCAAACCAGTTAGCGTATTCAATGATCCACTTCCCTTGTTCGATGTTGTTCACATCATCAGCGATAAGGAGAACTTTCCGGTGTTTACGCCTTGCTTCGGTAATTTCATGCCCATCGTGATATGAACTTATTATTACCGTTGGATCTTCTTCCCCTTCAAACTTTAGAAGCTTGTCTTTCATGTTTTCAACATTATCTAGGAAAACATATGTCTGAAAGTTAACAAACATCTCTGAATAAATGTACCTTGCAAACGTTGTCTTCCTTTGCGACACCCTTATACTCTGCTTCAGAGGGACATTGACGCATGGAATACAGATGGTCCGAGGTCACCAGCACTACCCCAAATGCCAATGGTACGAACCTCTTTGTTAACTTCTAAAGCCAACAAGTCATAAACCACTTTCATGTGACGATCCATTGCAACAAGGGCATTCGTATTTACGAAATTGCCCCACAACTTTCGGTATTTACAAAAATTGCCCCACAACTTTCCGTATTTACGAAATTATCCCACAACTTTAGGTATTTACTAATTTGCCCCACAGCTTTCGTTATTTACGAAATTGCCCCAAAGCTTTCGGTATTTACGAATTTGCCCCACAACTTTCTATATTTACGAATTTGCCTCACAACTTTCGATATTTACAAATTGCCCCACGATTTTAGGTATTTACGAAATTGCCCCAAATCTTTCGGTATTTACGAAATTGCCCCACAACTTACGATATTTACGAATTTACCCCACAACTTTCTATATTTACGAATATGCCCCACAATTTTTAGTTTCAATCAAAACATGTATATATGGGTAACATCAATAGCAAGTTTCAACAATCTTGCGTCTCAAAATCTGTGAAAAATCTCTGGTGGATGAAGTATTGAAGTTGGAAGTTATTTTCGGTTTAGTAAAATCAAACTATTGACATGCAAATACCTGAAAATGAGATAATAATAATAAATTCTTCAAAGAAAACATATCCTCGAAATCAAAATCTTCCAACGCAACTAAAATTTGAAAACAAAAACTGAGTGTTTTGGTCTGAAAAAACATAAGTAAATAGCTACTAAAGGAAATAGACAAAGAAGGCTGGATTGGTGATTTACTCTTCATCATCCTCATCATCATCATCATCACCACCTGCTCCGTTCAAAGCCTTAACTCTCTCGATCAACTTGTTCTTCCTCTCTTCATAAGTCAGTTTCTTCAAGTTGTACCTGTTTTGTTTATACCACAATCAATCATGAACCCAGTGAGATACTACACCAATACAGCAACAACAAGCTTATAATATTGATACAGTAATGAAATTGTTTTTACCTCTTGTGTTCCTTGGGGGCAGGTTTCTCGGTTTTCTTAGGGTTGGGGTCAGCTCGAATAGCTGCGTGAACCTTCTTGTACATCTCCTCAATGCTCTCAGCTTCAACTCCTTTCTTAATGTAAGCACTGAAGTGAGTTTGCAACTTCTCTGGCTCATCTTCACCCAACAGCTTCATGTAGTTTGAGACATGGCCACCATAGATGTAGTTCCTGTGGATTTCAGCATCAAGTTGCTTGTTCTCTTTGTTGAAACCCGCAAATCTCTTGTCACTGTGCGGGATATCAAGACCTCCGTCCAAAGCACCCTATAGTTTCATAAAGCAAACCAACAGGGTATTACAGAATTGCTAGTATCATCATTTGCTCAATAAAACACAATACAACAGATAAGAACACAAACAAACAGAGAACCATTTTAATACCTTGAGTGCACCAAACACACGGTTTCCCGTTGTGGTCCTAATAAGTCCGACATCAAGAAGAGCACGGAAAGGTCTTCTGGAATCAGTTGGTTCCACAGAAAAGTCCTCTCCAGTGGCCTGATTCATTAATTGTGATTCAGTTACAAAACAAGAGATGAAAACTCTCAAGTTACTTTAATTTCAAGATGAAATCAAAAGCACAACATACCTCTACGTTTCCCTCATACTCGTCATCCATTTCCAACATTTTCAGAACACGACGGGCCAGAAGAAGGCCAGTACAGTAAGCTAGCATGACAAAAACACAAAGTCGTTAGGAAACCATACACAGAGTCAACCATATAAAACTGGAAAACAAAATTATAGGACTGATTCAATACCTGCAGCATAGTTGGTAAGACCAACAGTGAGTCCATACTGAGGAAGCTCATGTGCGTAAGCAGAAGCTTTAACAATGTCACCAGCTATGCTTGCAGACACAATCTGTGCCACAATGTCTTTGTTGGTAAATCGGACAACAAAACGGTACTTAGGCGTGTTGTACTTGTTCTTATCTTGATTGATAAGACGAATTCTTGCCCTGTAATCAGTCTTTCCATCTACATAATATAAAACAACAACATTCAGGACACAACACCTAAACCTCTAAAACAGAACAAAAAGCAAAGTATAATTTGACAATAACAGCAATAAACAAACGGATTAATACCTCTCCTTCTCCTGAACTTCACTTGGTACCTCTTGAAGTAAGCATTCGATTTGGAGGACTTCACAAACACCTAACAACAAATACAGAGATTAAAAATCGTAAGATCCAAAAGTAACAAAAGATCATCAATTTAAACGCACCAGTGACCTCATACACTGGACAAAAAGCTAAAGTCTCAAACTTTAATTCATAATTTCAAGATCAACATTGATTTCAATTCTCAAAACCAACAGTATAAATCTTTTTACCAAGGTAACAAAGTTCATACATTTAAACGCATCAGTGACCTCTATAACAAAACAAATAGCTAAAGTCTCAAACTTTATTCTAATCCGAAGAACAAAAGAACAAAGATTTGCTAATTTCAATTCTCAAGCAAGTTATAACCAAAACCCATGAAGAAAAACATCTACGAAGCTGAATACAACCATAGGTTCATAAATTCTCATTACCATAACTATCAAAAAGAAATGCAGGAGATGAAATGAAACACAGATTCTGAGGAGAAAATCAAGAAGAAACTATGTCGGAGAGAGAGATCTTAGCTAGGGCTTACCATTGTTTGCTGTGAAGATGAGTGACACAAGAAGGCAAGAGGCGCAAGACCTAATGCGAGATCAAGCTTATAAGACAAAACCCTAGAGTTCTCTTGGGCTCTTCCAATCAACGGACACGATTTATGTGGGCTTAAGAAATATTCAACGGTACAGATTGGTTATATTAAATATAGGCCCAATGGGCTTTGTATTTGGGCTTGCTAGTCCTCTCTCACCTAATTTGTTTTTACTCTTTGGGGAGATGTAAAATTTGTAATGAGGTAAAGTATAAAAAGTAAAAACTGTTTGCAACTGCTGTGCGAATCTCTCCATTTTCATTTTGGCCATTTCTTTTTGCTTTTACTTCTTACATACTTCAAGTCTTCAATAGCAATAACCTTTTTCTTTATATAACCAAAAGATTTTAAACCTAAATCTAGACTACTATATGTATGCGAAGGCGATTTGGCGAATGTCTAACACACCTTTCCAAGGTTTATAGTATGCTTCTTTAAACCATTGATAATTTTAAAAAGGTTATTTCAGTAACTTTTTCCCTTGGCTGGTACTACGAATCCTCTTTTCTATCACTTAAATCCATAAAGATATGCGCTTAACCAAGGTTTAGGTTCGGCCTAAATGGAAAAATAAAATGGAGCACCTAAGAACGTATCTTCACAAACCAAGAACTACGAGATCACCCCTTTCATTCTAGGGTGACGGAAGGATCATACTGTTCGAGCCTTTTTCATGTTATCTATCTCTTGACTCGAAATGAGAGCATGTTTGAAAAAGGATCTTAGAGTGTCTAAGGTTAGGCCAGTAGGGTCTCTCTTAACACCCTCTTTTTTCTTCTCATCGAAGTTATTTCACAAATACAAAAGTAAGATGCCAAAATATCTTCAAGACTTAAATAAAAATCTCTTGATGACTTAATACACAATAATACAATCCACATTATAACTCAAATCTTACAATACAACATGACAAAACCATTCTTGTCATTAGTCTCCACAATACCTAGCTAGACTCTCCAGCTTTTTTATTTAATTCGGAGTTTAGACCCAAAGGTGATATATAGAACATACTAAACACAAATCCATTCAAGACGATGGAGCATTCCCGGAATCATCTTCTTTTAGGACATGGCTGAAATCATCTCTTCCCTTTCCCAGTGGATTCCTCTTCCTCTCCATAATCTCCGTAAAAGCCTCTATGAATTTCTTCATGTGCAATCGTTTCCATTCCTAACAAACAAACAACAATCAAAAACACACAAAATCGAAACAATGTACCAATTCCCATTCATAAATAGCTAACAAAACAAAAACAAAAAATGCTTAAATCATCAAACCTCGAAATCCCATTCTCCACCAATATCAGGATCATTCTTGTTAATCCATGGATATGTTTCCACTGTCATCTTCTCAGAATTGTCCTGCATATACAAAAAAATCATAATCAATACTCACTAAAATTGTTTCATGGTCTAGAGATGAAATAATGAAATCTTTAAACTTACTTTTCTTACAACTTCAACAGTCACTCTTTCATATTCGTTTCCTTCAACCCAATCTACATTCTCAAGTTCATCATTCGTTAATCCCATTAGTACCTGAACCAACAACAATTCACCAAAAGTTCTCATAATCTAAACTATTCAAGAATCAAGATCAATACTTAAAACCCACAAGAATGATCTAAGAATCAAACCTTTCCATGAACTTCTCCATTCTCAGAGGGAATAATACATGGATACAAACGTCCTTTAAGCCTAAACCTCTGACTAAAAACACCCAAAATCTCCATTCAATCTTAGATCTAAAAAACAGAGAGAATTGAGATCAAGATCGAGAGAGAAAGGTACGTACAAGCCAGGAAGTGTTGCAGAGACGATCTCAGGAATACGATCAAGCATGACATGGATGACGTCAGGCTCTTGAAAGCTACCATAGACGAAGATATTGTGAAGCTGAGGAGAATCGGAGCTACTCATTTTTTTTTTTTCAATCTTTTTACTCTGTTTTTTTTTTTTATTGGTTAAGTTATTTTCTCTATGACAGAGCTTTTGACTTTTATAACGTGACAAAAATAGACTATCACGTAGGAACACGAAACTGTGAAACACGTGGAATTATTCTCTTACCACACAACCTTAACGTTATGTACCAGATTTTAGAAAAAGAGAAGATGATGTTTATTTATGGATGTGGTATTTTCTTTTTTTTCTAATAACATGTCTAATAATTTAAAAATCACATATAATTTAATCATGTTTTTTATTCAGTAGTGTGATATTTTTCTTTATCCTTAGATTTTCGTATTATATGTCAAAGCAAATAAATTAGCACGAAACATTCATGTCAAATCACATTATATTACATATATAAATAATTTACCTTAAAGTTGGCTCATATGAATTTAATCAATCTAAAGTTGTTGACAAAAAAGAAATTCTAGTAGATGATATCTAAAGAAATATATAGTATGACTATGCACAAGTTTTTTTGTTTTTTTTTTTGTTTTTTAAAGTCAAAATGACTGCACAAGTTATTAAGGACAATTTGATATGTTACCAAAAAAAAAAAAAAAAAACTAAGGACATTTTTTTTTTTTTAATTAGTTAATATTCATTTAAATCTTCCCATATGGGCTTGGAAAAAGCCTTACAAACTATGACACAGTTACAAAAAAGCCTAATAAGAAATTTGCCGGAAACAGATTTGAAGGATCGAACCCTGCTGATGGACGACTGCACGGTGGCCGGAGCCAGAGCTGGCCATGAGGCCAAGCAAGGCAAGCTTGTGCTTGCGGCCCCAAATCCCATATATATATAATCGGCCACATTTTTAACAATAATGTTCAAGTAGTCTAGTGGTTTGAAATGTGTCATAGCATGTGCAGGTGATCAGTTCGAATCCACTAACTCTGTTATCTTTTGTTTTTTTCATTTTTAATCTTTTCTTACAAATAGTAGGCCTAAAATTATTTTTTGTTGTTTGTGGTCTTCAAATTCTCAGGGACGGCTTTGGCCGGAGCATTAGATTTGTATACTTTTCTTAATAAATGTATACTTTTCTTTAGTTACAAATTTGTCGCTTGATTAAAATACTAGGGTGGCTTTGATAAATAACTCTAAATTTTATCTCAATGAGGTAAATAATCGAGTGGCTTCTAAGTAGAGAATTTTGAGATGTATATATATTTGACCAAAATATTCTTTGTACTTTGCTTAATCATGTTGTTTCATAAAACATAAAAATAAACAATCTCTTACTAATAAAATGAACTCATTGAAGCTTCTCAATGTGTCTACATCAGATTTTCTAAAAAACTCTCTCAAGATGCCACGTCAGTTTACTTTCCTTCAAATTATAAATCACTGCAACCACGTCACACTCTTTACAAGGACGATCAATATTCACCGCCCATTGGCCAACTAGATTAGCATCTTAGGTCGTCAACTTACGTGTCTCTTCACCTCTCCCTCATAACGGAACTGCCACGCTTCGCCTTCCTTTCTTCTAAATCCTCATATCGCTCCATATATATAATAGAGAAGGTTACGAAAAAACCTCAAACGTCAAACGTATCGTCCTCTGCAGCTGTGGAACGCTTTTCAAATCCTTCTCGGTTACAGAGATCGTTGAATATGAAGGTCTGTTTGCTCCAATTAAACATTCACTTTTTTTTAGAGAGATCATCAAATCCTCCATGATTAGATTTTACAACTACTGTAAGTGTTAGTTATGTTGGACTCAAGTCTTTAGACTTAGTCAGAATAAGAATCGTTCAAGTAGGAGTAGTGGCTAGATTATAGCTTAGTGGAGTTGTTGTTTCAAGTTGTTAAAGTCCTCCGATAATGTAGGAGGCAGTTGTTTTCTTGTTTCTTGTAATTGGCTATTTAAAGCCTTCTATTGAATAGAACAGAGTAAGCTTTTTCGTTCTCATCATTCACTTTGCTATAACAAATTGGTATCAGAGCCAATCTGAGTGGTGAGAAATTCGTGAGAGAGAGAGTTCTTCAAGGGTGAGTGAAACACAATGTCTGGGGAAAATCAAAACATGTTGGCGATACCTAAATTCGATGGGGATTTTGAACATTGGAGCATGTTGATGGAGAATCTGTTGAGATCTAAAGAGTGGTGGGGTCTGATAGAGAGAGGCTATGTTGAGCCAGCTCGAGGAGAGATTCTCACCGGAGCATAGAGACAAGAGCTAGCAGAGAAGAAACTAACCGACCTAAAGGTGAAGAACTATCTGTTTCAAGCGATCGACAAAACCGTCTTGAAACAGATAATTCAGAAGGATACTGCCAAGCAACTGTGGGATTCATTGAAAACCAAGTATCAAGGAGACGAGCGTGTGAGGCGAGCACAACTTCAACGCTTAAGAAGGGATTTTGAGGTTCTGGAGATGAAAGAAACAGAGAGCATCACGGAGTACTTCTCTAGAGTGTTGCTTGTTGCAACAGATATGGGAAATCTTGGAGAAGAGATGAAAGAATCCAAGATTGTGGAGAAGATCTTAAGAACACTCTCCGAGAAGTTTACATATGTAGTCTGTTCAATTGAGGAGTCTAAAGATATAGACAACCTCTCGGTCGATGCTCTCCAAAGCTCATTACGCTGCCATGAACAAAAGATCACAAGACACGCTAAGGGATCCACAAAAGACGAGCAAGTACTGAAGGTGACGTACGAAGCTGGCGGCCCAAGTGGAGCGAGAGGAAGAGGTGGCTCTTTCAGGGGTCGCGGCAGAGGACGTGGCAGAGGAGGGTCATTCAATAAGGAGTTGGTGGAGTGTTACAAGTGCCACCAGATGGGACACTTCCAATTTGAATGCCCTAGAGCTGAGAAACAAGCTAATTACGTAGAGTTTAATGAAGAGGAAGAGATCTTGCTCATGGCACATGTAGAGCTGAAAGGATCTAATATGGAGGATTTGTGGTTCCTAGACAGTGGGTGCAGCAACCACATGACCGGAGCAAAGAAGTGGTTTTCTGAGTTGGATGAAAGTTTCCGGCACTCTGTGAAGCTCGGGAACAATGCGAGAATGACGGTAGAAGGCAAAGGAAGCATCAAACTCAAGGTGAATGGGCTGATCCAAGTGATTCAAGATGTGTACTATGTTCCGGAGTTAAGTAACAATCTTCTAAGCCTAGGACAGTTGCAAGAGAGAAATCTTGCCATTTTGATACAAGACGGCGTGTGCAAAATCTATCATCCCTCAAGGGGACTCATCGTTGAAACTCCAATGACTGCGAATCGAATGTTCATAATTCTAGCTCAGTTGGTAGGTTCGGATTCCTGTCTTCAAGTGGCAGCATCAAGTGATACACACCTATGGCATTGCAGGTTCGCGCATCTCAACTACAAGAGTCTACAAATGCTCAGCTCTAAGGAGATGGTGATAGGGCTTCCCTCTATTGACTCTTGTACGAAAGTTTGTGAAAACTGTCTCGTCGGCAAACAAAAAAGAGAATCCTTCCCGAAGAAAAGCGCATGGAGAGCCTCAAAGAACCTACAATTGATACATGCTGACATATGCGGACCAATCACTCCGGTTTCTATTGGCCATAAGATGTATCTGCTTACTTTCATTGATGATCATAGTAGAAAAATGTGGAGTTACTTGATTGCTGAAAAGTCAGAGGCATTTCAAATGTTCAGAGAATTCAAAGCTCGCGTGGAGAAAGAATCAGGCATGTCGGTGTGTGGTTTGAGAACAGACAGAGGAGGAGAATTTTGTTCAAAGGAGTTTGAAGATTTCTGCAAAGTACACGGCATCAAACGCCAACTAACTGCGGCTTACACGCCTCAGCAAAACGGAGTAGCTGAAAGAAGAAATCAAACGATCATGAATCTGGTTCGTAGTACACTGTCCGAAAGGAAGATGCCTAAAGATTTTTGGGCAGAAGGAGTGAAGTGGATTACTTATGTTCTCAATCGCAGTCCTACCGCAGCGTTGATGGATCAGACTCCAGAGGAGGTGTGGAGCAGTTTCAAGCCAAATGTGAAACATTTTAAGGTCTTCGGGTGTATCGGACATGTTCACATACCAGAGGCAAAAAGAACAAAGCTCGATGATAAAAGCTGCAAGTGTGTGTTCCTTGGAGTTAGTGAAGAATCAAAGGCATATCGAATGTACAATCCAATCTCTAAGAAAATCATGGTGAGTAGAGACGTGATTTTTGAAGAAACAGAGAATTGGAATTGGGGAAGGAATGAGTCAGAAGAAGCGCAAAACCAATCAAATGTTCTTACCTGGGAGAACGATGGAGACAACATGGTAGGCGAAGAAGAGATTGGAGATCCCGAAGTAGAGCATGAAGCAGATGCAGTCGCTGCCGCCAATGGAGAAGTCGCAGCCTCAGCTTCTGGCTCATCCCGTGATGCACAAGAAAGACCAGTACGAGCAAGAGCACCTCCTGCATACTTACGTGACTATGACTGTGGAGAAGCAGTAGTCTTGACGGATGAAGAAATTGCTGCTTACGTTGACGATGACTACTTACTTGATGACCACATGTTGCAAGTAGTCACTGCTCTTGGAGATCCTACAACTTACGAGGAGGCTGTGAGATATGGTGAATGGAGAGAAGCCATGAATGCAGAGATCGAATCCATCGAAAGAAATCAAACCTGGGAGCTGTCCGAAATACCTAAAGGTACAAAAACTATTGGAGTTAAATGGGTATTTAAGACGAAATATAATGAAGATGGTGAGGTAGACAAATTCAAAGCAAGGTTGGTTGCTAAGGGGTATGCTCAGAGATTTGGGGTCGATTACAATGAGGTCTACGCTCCGGTAGCAAGGTGGGATACAATCCGCATGATCATCGCCACGGCAGCCTCTAGAAACTGGACCATCTATCAACTGGACGTGAAGAGTGCTTTCCTACATGGAGAGCTCAATGAAGTTGTGTTCGTGGATCAACCACAAGGGTTCATCAAACCAGGGAGTGAAAGGAAGGCTTATAGACTGAGAAAGGCATTGTACGGACTAAAACAAGCGCCGAGAGCTTGGTTTAGTAAGATCGAGAGCTACTTCATTAGGGAAGGATTTGAGAAATGCGACTTCGAGCACACTCTGTTTGTTAAAACAGGGGAACAAGGTCAGGTCCTTATTGTGAGTTTATATGTTGATGATCTCATATTACTGGAAATTGTGAAAAGTTGATTCTCAAGTTCAAGAAGCTGAAGGAGTTGATGGGTCTTGTCGAAATGCCAAAGTAAACTGATGCACTTACATGTATCAGTTTAGGGAAGGAATTTGTTAGTTATGTTGGACTCAAGTCTTTAGACTTAGTCAGAATAAGAATCGTTCAAGTAGGAGTAGTGGCTAGATTATAGCTTAGTGGAGTTGTTGTTTCAAGTTGTTAAAGTCCTCCGATAATGTAGGAGGCAGTTGTTTTCTTGTTTCTTGTAATTGGCTATTTAAAGCCTTCTATTGAATAGAACAGAGTAAGCTTTTTCGTTCTCATCATTCACTTTGCTATAACAGTAAGATTGTTCAGATTCAAAGGCTCATGCTCTCGAGATATATTAAAAGAAAGAAGAACTGTTGGTCTTAATTTAAGTAGCAATCATTTGTATACTTCCTTTTCACTATTCTGAACTTTATTTTTCATTGCCTTCTTTTGGATAACTTTGCTGCAATTGTTTGTCCCTGTAAATATTTGAGTTTAGTGATAATCTTCCCCTCTGTAAACAGAACCATTGCCGACAAGGGAGGCGCCTATTCTGATGCAAGTTGAGTGTTGGTGGAGTAAAGAGACATGAAAAGCCTTTGCTGGAGTAAATCATATGATCTTCAAGGCTATAACTTTTAAATTGCGTTTAGAGTAAAGAATGTAATTACATTAGTTTATATCTTTGACTTTGATATTGATAACCCATAGGGAGTGTTAACTTCTATTCATGTGTCAGCAACAGAGAAGGGTGTGGAAGAGGCCACTCGGTGACCTAGAAAAGAATCAATAAACATACATACCTACGTGATTAACAAGATGGTTGAATGCTACTTTCTTTACTATTCCACTACCGTCTCTTTCTGTTTTGTTTCTAGGTAAATGGATCAAGTGGAGAAACCATTTCATGTACGTTTTTCTAAGAATACCCATTGTTGCCCTGTTTAACATTGGTATTGGCCATCACAAAGGAATTGCCCTGTTTAACATTGAGTGTGTCGTTTTGTGGTTATCGTTTTAAGATTATGCTCTATGTATGTAGTGTCATATTAGAATGTGAGCTATGTTTCATAGAGAATATACAGTCCATTGCTCTTAAGTCTTAACTTTGTAATGTCATGCCAAAAACATCAAATGTAATTTTGTCATGGAGATGGAACTTAGTAAATAATGTGTCCAATCATGGCTGTTATTTTCCTACATATACTTCGAAGCTCGATCGCTTTGATTTCTATGCTTTATATTGATACATGTTCAACTCCTACTTTGTAAAACTATTTTATAAATTACAATAAAAAAGTTATCAATAGATATAACTAAACAATTAATTGTATCATGTATATGTTTCTTTACTAAAATAATAAATGCAGCATCACATGAAGTTTTGCAATGTATACTTACAAAAAAAAATACGTTACTAAACTTTAAATTATCGAATTTCAAATATACCCGGGCGTAGCCCGGATTAGCCCCTAGTAGAAAATAAATAAACACTTGACTAGAAAACTCTAAAATTTTCCCAAACCCACTCAACCAATTGATTTGATTACTGGTTGGTTTTTGATGGTGGAACCTTTAAGGATTTAAGTACACATGAATAACTGACGAATAATTGTGCAGGAATCTAATTTTTATCTGAATCATTTTATGCATATCAGTTTTGGATAGAATTGGAGACGGACAAACAAAATTGCGGGATAAAATTCTACAAATAGTTTTAAATAGACAAAACACACACAAGCCAAGTAAGATGCAAAAACATATGACATTAACATACATGTCACTAATCTTCACAATACCTATACTCTCTACGTTTTATTTATTCCAGAATATTAAAAACACAAAGGTTTTTGTTGTTGTTGTTGATAATTCTAAAAACAAAGGTCATATATAAACCATATATACTAAAACACAAGTCCACTCAGGACAATGGAGTCTCATCCGATTGATCTTCGCGTAGGGCATGGCTGAAATCATCACTTTCCTGTCCCTGAGGTTTCTTCTTACATTCCATGATTTTCTTGAAAGTCTCTATGAATTTCTCTTTGTGCAATCGTTTCCATTCCTAAGAAAAAAATCATAATCCAAAAGACGCGAATTGAACCAATGTACCATTTTCCAATCATAATGAGTTAACAAAAGCTAAAACATTGTTTAAATCACTCAACCTCAAAATCCCATTCTCCAAACATGTCAGGATCAGCCCTGTTGATCCATATATACGTTTTCACTGGCATCTTCTCCGAAGTGTCCTACATGTCCAAAATCACAATTTATAATCTCATCAAAAATATTTCAAAATTTATAAATCATCAACCTTTTATACTTACCTCCCTAAAAATCCCAACAGTCACTCTCTCATATTCATTTCCCTCAACCGCATCTATATTCTCAAGTTCATCACCTGTTAATCCCATTAGTACCTACACCAACAATCAACCAAATTTCTCAAATCAAAACCCTAAAATTCCATATTATACTTGAGAGAAAACCATATAAAATGCTCTGGTCTCCGATCTCATAAGATGTATGAACCTAGACCAAGAACCTCTTAGTAATTCGAAAAAGAAAAATATATATTCATATTACACTTCTTACACAAAAACCAACAAGAATAAAGTCACAAATAATGATCCCAAAATCTAACCTTTCCATGAACTTCTCCTTTCTCAGAGGGGACAATACATGGATACAAACGTCCTTTAATCCTAAACCTTTGACTGAAAAATCTAAAACCCAAAAATCTCCATCAAAACTTAGAGATTACTCAATTCGAAGAAAGAGAGAAAGGTACGTACAAGCCCGGGAGTGTTGCGGAGACGATCTCGGGAATACGGTCAAACATCACGTTGATGACGTCGGGCTCTTGAAAGCTACCATAGACAAAGACATTATGAAGCTGAGAACCAGAGCAATTCATCTTTTGTCTCTTCCACCGTTTTTGTTTTGTTTTTTCTTTTGGTTTCTTTTAGTAATTTGGGTTTTATGTTCACTCTCTAATCTGAGTTTGACTTTTATATTATAAAGTGAAAAATGAAAATCTAAACACGATACCGATGAACAGTTGGCGTAACCAGCGCAAGAAAGACGTGGCATTGATTCTGTTACGACAGCGTTAGACTTCGACGACTAGTGACACCAGTTAGTGTATGAAACTCGTTCGTGTTCCTTTTGTTTTCTTCTAATTTGTCGACAATTATTTGGATACATATCTAATTAAAGTTGTTTTTTCAAATAATGATAGTTATCTTAAATATGCGACACGGATATCGTCTATATATATTTTATTTTTTTTGTTCAACATCGTCTAATATATTTCTTTATTTTTTTATTATCAAAATGAAATCACTTATATGCATGCAGTAACCTCTTAATTAATTATTATCTTTAAATCCCTAGAAATGTTACTTTGATGCAAGAAGGTCAATGTCGTCAACACCGGGAAGATTGGAACCGTGATCGTCATCTACAGCCCAGATAATACTAATATATTTCTTTCTTAAAGAATCCGATGTCTCTAATTTTTCTTTTTTTTTTGGGTTATTCACCTAAATCACCCTATAATTTAATCAATCTAAAGAAAAAAAACTTTATGTTATAAACCATATGGATGGACTCCATAACCGGCCCACGGCCCATTAGGGTTTTACCTTATTCTCTGTATCCTGCTATTATCCTTGTATATATATCCCTTATACTATTAATGAAAGACACAGTTCACAACACGTTATCAGCACGATAGCCTTTCACCCTAAAAATTAAAAATTCCGAAACCCTAAATCTCTCTCACAAAAACCAAAACCAAAACCCTAGCCGTCTCTGCAAACAAAATTCTAAACTCTATCGAGATAAGTTTTCTGTTCATATTTGTTTCTGCACAAATTTTGCACGGATTATCTGTTATCAATCCTGTCTGTATTTCTGCACGAACTTTGCACAGATGATCTGTTATCTATTCTGTCTGTAGTTTTGCACGAATTTTGCACGGATTATATGTTATCAATTTTATCTGTATTTCTGCACGAATTTTGCACAGATTATCTGTTGTCAATTATGTCTGTAGATTTGCACAAATTTTGCATGGATTATTTATTATCAATCCTGTCTATATTTTTGTACGATTTATGCATGGATTATATGTTATTGATTCTGAACTGTTTTATGCAGTATATTACAGAAACCCTTTTTTTTTTTTCTTTTTACTAATGTAATAGCCATGTTTCCATGAGCAAAATTTTGAGTTTCTCAGGAATCAGGATTATATATATTGAGATTTTGTAGGAGGTCCCAACCAGCTAAGAGACATAACTGTTTCCAATCTCCGTATTAGATCTCGGGTCTCTCTTTCTTATCCAATTAAGATAAGTGCTATTTATTATGCTTTATATACATAATCCAATTAAAGTTTGATAAGATAAAATTTGCATGAAAATTGGCACATGTGATTTGATTTATGATTGGAGAATTAATTGAGAAGTTAGTGAATGGAAAGATGTTTAATAGCATGATAGATTGAATGTTTTAATATAAACCCTAGGTTAAACCGAAAGTAAACCGAAACCCTAAATCCTAGGTTAAACCGGTTTAATAAACCCTAAGTCACGGTTTAAGATCAAGTTTCCCATATAAGGAAAGTTTCCAGAAATAGAAAGTTTCCATAAATATAAAATCTCCATAAATAGAAAGTTTCCATATAAGGAAAGTTTCCAGAAATAGAAAGTTTCGTAAAATAGCAAGTTTCCCAAAATAAAAGGTTCCCTAAAATAGCAAGTTTCCCAAAATGGAAAGTTACCAAAATAGGAAACCCCTTCATAAGAAAATATTCCAAAACCCTAAAGTACACGTTTGTTTAGGATTTCTTTCTAGATGAGAAATAGAAAGTTTCCATATAAGGAAAGTTTCCATAAATAGAAAGTTCTATACATAAAACCGAAATCCTAGCAAAAACCCTAGTACTATAAATCGCGGATGCTAAAACCCTAAAACTTAACCGCGAAATCCTAATATCCTAATCTAGTATGATCCGATTGTTTGGTTGTTGCATACTAGATCAATCTTCTAGGGTTGATTTCATCCATATATATATATATATATATAACATGATTGTTTAGAAAAATACTTGCTAAAGACAAGCATGGCTCGGTCTTAAATACCGCATGACTTGGTCTAACCGATTACATGAGTTCTCATTTAACTCTAGATATTATAGATGTCAGAAATCAACTATTATGAATACACGACACTCAATGCCTCTGGTGACAATTATTTACAATGGGCTTTGGACACTGAGATTGTCCTAAAGGGAAAAGGGCTTGGTGAATCTATTGTGGAAGGAAACAATGTCACCAGAAGAGAAAGATATAAGGCGATTACTAACATACGCCATTACCTCAATGAGAGTCTCAAAATCAGTACCTCACTATTAAGAATCCTATGGACCTCAGGACAGAGTTGAAAAAAAAAAAAAAAAAAAAAAAAAAAATCAATATAACCACCAAAGAACGGTGCTATTACCCAAAAGCCTGATTCGATCGAAAGAATCTCAGATTCCAGGAATTCAAATCCATGAATGAGTATAACTCAGTACTATTTAAAATAGTGTCAATACTGAGATTCTGTGGTGAGGAAGTTACTGAGAATGACTTGCTAGAGAAAGCATTCTCGACCTTTCACACAAACAATATATTGCCTCAGCAACAATATCGTGAAAAAGGTTTTTACCACATATGCAAGTCTAAACTCTTGTTTTGCTACTTGCTGAGCAAAACAATGAGTTATAAATAGTGAAATGAGACCTCCTAGTCCTACCCCATTATCAGAAGCCCATTGGGCTGAAGAGCCTAAAGAGCCTAAAGAGACTAAAGAGTCTAACCACGTCCAAAGAGATAAGTATCATGGCCACAGTCATGGTAAATGGAATGAACGTGGTAGAAGTGGCAATTATAATTTATATGATCAAGGAAACCATTCATATGGTTAAGGCCGCCGACCCGACTTTGGTCGTAATCGAGGTAAAGGCCACGGTATACCCAAACCACAACACTCAAATAAACTTGTTTGCCACTGATGAGGAATGGGGAAACCATTGGACTAAGACGTGCAGGACACCTAAGCATCTCGTTGATCTCTATCAAGAGAGTTTAAAAAGAATCTAGAAGCTCATTTAGTTCATCATTATGAGAATTCAATAAACGAAATATCTAAAGACATGGTTCATTAGCCAAATTGCGGGTATAGCTAAATTTAGTGAAGGCTAAGGGCAGGCCCATGGCAGGCCCATATTCCCAAGGGCACGCATCCTCAGATGCTTCATATTCACCTAGTTCAAAGGGGCTTGTTGAGTTTCAAAGAAATGTGTTTGAATGGTTTCCACATTGAAACTAAGGGTGAAGGGAACAAAGGATTCCCATATATTACTAAGAGCACCCAAGACCATGAGAAGGTCTTAGAGACTATACCCGCGTCATAGATCTTTACTATGCCAAGGTCAATATGATAAAGGCTAATAAAGTAAACAAAAGGGTTTACTGAGAAATTCACTAATGGCATGACCGGCTTGGCCAGCCTGGTTCGAATATGATGCGTAAATTAATTCAAAGTTCTAAAGGGCATACCCTTAAAGAAAACCGAGTTTTCCCTAAGCACCACATGTGCATAGCCTGTTCACAAGGGAAACTTATCACTCGACCTTCACCAGTCAAAGTGTCTAAAGAGACCTTACATTTTCTGGAACGAATTCAAGGAGACATATGTGGTTCGATCCATCCACCTTGTGGAACATTTCGGTACTTCATGGTTTTAATCGATGCATCGACCCGCTGGTCGCATGTTTGCCTATTGTCTTCTAGGAACCAAGCGTTTGTTAGGTTATTGGCCCAAATGATCAGATTGCGAGCCCATTTTCCAGATTTTCCTCTTAAGACCATACGTTTAGATAATGCTGGTGAATTCACTTCCCAAGCATTTAATGACTATTGTATGGCCATGGGGGTAAGTGTGGAACATCCTGTGGCACATGTCCATACACATAACGGATTAGCTGAATCCCTCATTAATCGAAATCAACTAATTGCTCGACCATTACTCATGAGGTTGCAGCTTCCGGTCTCAGCTTGGGGACATGCAGTTTTACACGCTGTTGAACTAATACGCATTCGGCCATCTAGTGAGCATAGATATTCCCCATCCCAATTGCTAACGGGTCATGAGCCAGACGTTTCCCATCTAAAGACATTTGGGTGTGTCACCTATTTACCCATAGCACCACCACAGAGAGCAAATGATGGGACCTCAAAAGGGGATGGGAATATACATTAACAATGATTCTCCCACCATCATTAAGTATCTCGAGCCAAAGGCCAGATACAAGGATTGTCATCTCAATGAATCCGTTTTCCCAACACTAGGTGGAGAGACTAACAAGCTGGTCAAAGAACTTACATGGAATCAAACATCCTTCACATGGCAAGATCCTCGGACTCCATCAGAGATCCAAAAGACTATATATCTGCAAAAGCTAGCTAAAACAGTTGCCAAGATTCCTATAATGACCCAAAGAGAGTAACAAAATCGTACATACCAGCTTGTAATGCACCAGTACGTATTGATGTTCACAAGGAACACAATCAAGTTGCTACAGAGGCTACAACACGTAAGAAACGTGGTAGACCCAAAAGGTTCCAAAGACAAGAACCCTCGGAAATCAAAGAAAGGTGCAAGGGAAACCGAGAAGGTTCAAGAAACCATAGACATGGCCGGCTAATAGACATAACCCTAAGGTACCAATCAATGAGGTTTGGGACGCCAAACCTCAAGGTCCTGAAGGTGTAAAGAGATCTCTATAAACTATATCATGTCTAGAATACAATGGAACCGAAAAGATGTCGACATCAATGATAAAATATTTGCGCACAAGGTAGCAACTGAAATGAATGAGGATCAGGAGCCCACGTCTATACTAGAGTGCACTCAAAGACCTGATTGATTAAAATGGTACAAGACCATAAAACATGGAGCTAAGAATCATTAAGAAGAAGAATGTGTTTGGTCCAATACAAAGGACACCATTCAATGTAAAGCCAGTGGGACAAATGAGTCTTTGTGATAGTGTGAAATAAACATAGTGAAAGCGTGATATATCAGACACGGCTTGTCGCACAAGGATTCACACAAAGACCAGAAATAGAGGAGATATACTCCCATGTGGTGGATGCTAAGACATATAAATCTTTGCTAAGTCTGGCTATATAAAAGAGAAAGATTTGCGGCTAATGGATGTAATGCATGCATATTTATATAAGTCCACTGGATAATATATGAGATTACCAGAGGGTATTGAGCTCAAAGATAAGAAAGATTCTCGAGAACAGCACTGCATAAGGCTGGACAAATCCTTATATGGACTGAAACAAAGCGGACGTATGTGGTATAACCGGTTAAGCGAATATCTCATCAGAGAAGGCTATAAAAACGATCCGATCAGTCTATGTATTTTTATCAAGAAGTTTAAAAACAAAGGATTTGTAATCATAGCAGTGTATATGAATGATTTAAACCTCTGGGTAATCGACCAAACAGTTGAAAGACCTAGGCAATAATTAAGTTCTGTTTGGGATTACAATCTGAGTACGTGAATAATGGAATCCTTGTGCATCAAATGGCATACACTAAAAGAGTACTCAAGGAAATTTAATAAGGACCAGGCCCGCCCATTGACCAGGCCCAATGGTGGTGAGAAGCCTCAAATTGGATAGTGATCCATTCAGTCCGGAAATGCCATACCTTAGTGCCATAGGAGTTCTAATGAATTTGGCTAGACACACTAGACCAAACATTTGTTTTGCCGTGAGTCTCCTGTCTAAATTTAGTTCATGATCAACCCAAAGGCACTAGAAAGGTTTAAAGGAAGGTTTGATTAAGTTTTAAAGTCTATTCTTCCTGCGTTGTTTACTTGGGTTTATTCTATACTGATCTAACCAAAAAAAAGGTCCAGTTTGCTTTGGTTTAGTTTGATTTACTAATGCAGGATATTCATAAGATCAGATTATGGTATGGTCAATGAATATGAACTATGTGTGGCTTGATCCCTTACAAGGGTACGTAGGCAGCCTTCCTTAAGGCGTATCTACTACTACATCAAAGACCATCATATTTGAAGACAACGCATCCTGTATTGCTCAACTCAAGGATGGTTACACTAAGAGGGATCGAACGAAGCATATTCTGCCCAAGTTCTTCTTCACTCATGAATTACAGAAGGACGGTCAGGTCAAAGTTCAACAGATCCGGTCAAGTGAGAATTCAGCCGACCTATTCACCAAATCATTGCTGACTTCAACGTTCCGGAATCTCATTCATCAGATCGGGATGCGCGGACTTAAGGATCGACAGTGATGCTCAAATCAGGGGGAGTAATGCGTGTTGTACTCTTTTTCCTTCACCATGGTTTTGTCCCACTGGGTTTTCCTGGTAAGGTTTTAATGAGGCAACATTCCCCAGCGCATTATAGAGATCCCGGTTTAGTATCGGGCACGGTTATGTCTTCCAAGGGGGAGTGTTATAAACCATATGGATGGACTCCATAACCGGCCCACGGCCCATTAGGGTTTTACCTTATTCTCTGTATCCTGCTATTATCCTTGTATATATATCCCTTATACTATTAATGAAAGACACAGTTCACAACACTTTATACAATTTTATATATATCAACATTTTCTTGTTTTTAAACTATAACTTTTTTAAGTCAACAAATTTCAGTTGAAGAAATTTTTACATTCCTCGTTGATCACAACAATTTTTGTAGGAACACCGCCAAATCCCACGAAAGCAAAAACTAATTAAGCTGATTTTGGTATCTTTCGTATAAACTGTCGAAACTGGTCAAAAAATTTACTACTATCAAGCAAACTGACGAAAGAAGAAAGCAAAAAAAAAAAAAACAAAATGTAATGCATGCACCCACAAAACTGTGATGACGTTTACTCAAAACTTAACTAGTATGTAAAAGATATGAATTAATTTATTTATTGCCAATTAGTTTTGAGTAAACATCATGGAAATTTATTACCAAAAAGAAAAATCTTCGACCTTGTTGAATAAAATCTGATAAAATCTCCATGGAATACAATTCTCTTGTATACAAAACTCAACTAAGTTATATATCTCTAGCTTTCATTTTCATGATAAATTTTGTAGGACAAAAGCAAACAAAAGAAAGCAACTGTGGCAGGCGATTCAAGTCTTTTACATGTAACTTCTAAATATTATAATGTTTCTTAGATATTATCAAGCCGCGATGCTATAGTTTTAGATAAAAAATTTTGAAATTTCTGAACTCTCTCATGCAATGGTAATTTAATATCTAGTTCAAAGGTTACTAAATACTAATATTCTTTTCGTGTTCTAAATTTTATTGTTTCAAAATGAAAGAAACTAGAACGGTACAAATTGTAGAAACTGATCATAATAATTGGTCAATGGAAATATTAATAATATTCTGCAAATTGAAAATGTTAAGAGATAGTATATATATAGTTGGGAATATATATATTTATATGTTTATTTCTTGGAAATACACGTTTAACAAAGAGAATTTAATAATAATAATATGTTTCAAATATGTTGAGTAAACAACTCTTTGATCTTCTTCCACGAACAAAAAATTTATTTTTGAAGCTAAAGACATAACAATGCAAGTATTGCCGGCGATTCGAGTTTCTCACTGGTATGTCGTTTAGATATTAAATTGTTATTTATGTTTTTGTTTAATTGAGTTGTGTAACGTACGCTAATTTTAGATGAATTTTTGTTAAACTTTCAACTCTCTCATTGATATTTATTATAATTTTGAAACGTTGAGTTAATTTTGTTTCTAAAGGAAAACAAGATGAGTGAAAACTCAACGATGGAAATTGATCAACAAAACGAAGATTTAAACAATTGGTTACCGGTGACAGCATCTCGGAAGGCCAAGTGGTGGTACTCCGCCTTCCACAATGTTACCGCCATGGTTGGTGCCGGCGTTCTTGGTTTGCCCTTTGCCATTTCACAACTTGGATGGTACATATTCTTTTGTTCCAAAACACATATAATCTCTCATCATCTTTTTTTTTTTTTTTTACATTTGATTCTTTCAATTATCGGCATGCAGAGGACTAAACTGTTTGTAACTCGAATAGAAATATAAATTAGGACTGAAAGATTCATCTCCTTAGTTATAATTTATTAAATTTTGTTTATCATAGGTTGACATATACATTCTTAGGATTAGAATGGATACTTGAGAGATGAATCTATTTCCTATATATGGTAACATGTATATTCAAATATAAATTAGCTAGGATTGGAATAACTAGTCTAACCGCTTGAATTAATTGTATTTTGGTACCAAAATATATAACATAATTATAGATAGAGAAATTTTTATTGTGTTCATGTTCTTGTAGGGTATCTGGAATAGTTGCAGTATTGGGATCATGGGTGATAACGTTCTACACATTATGGCAACTTGTGGAGCTCCACGAGGCTGTGCCTGGAAAACGGTTCGACCGATACCCGGAGCTTGGCCAACACGCATTTGGCCCAAAACTAGGTTATTGGATTGTGATGCCACAACAAATGTTGGTCCAAGTTGGTACTGATATAGTCTACAATGTCACGGGCGGAAAATCTCTTAAGAAAGCGATCGAGCTCTTGATCCCGAGTTTCGCGATGAGGAACACTTGTTACATTTTGATCTTCACCGCAATCCAACTCAGCTTGTCTCAAATCCCTAATTTCAACTCTCTCAAAGGCCTTTCTCTTTTGGCCGCGGTCATGTCCGTTTGTTATTCGATGATAGCCTTTGTGGCGTCAACAGTTGAAGGAGCACAACACCACCCGGCTAGCTATGGAATTCGATCACAATATTCTGTAGATATAGCGTTTGACGTGATGAATGCGTTGGGAACGGTAGCGTTTGCGTTTGCAGGACATAGTGTGGTTCTTGAAATACAAGCAACCATTCCTTCGACACCTGAGGTCCCTTCCAAGAAACCGACTTGGAAGGGAGTCGTCGTGGCTTACGCCATCGTCCTCCTTTGCTACCTAACAGTAGCAATCTCCGGGTTTTGGGCGTTTGGAAATCTAGTGGAAGACGATATTCTTATTTCCCTCCAAAAACCTAATTGGCTAATCGCGGTAGCTAACTTCATGGTGTTTCTTCATGTCGTTGGAAGCTATCAGGTCCATTATTACAACGACACCCTTCTTGAAATTATCTATGATAATTTACTTTTGGTTAATAACTCAAATTCTGAATAATTAGATAGTATAATGGTGTGGTTGATCTAAATAAACAGGTATTTGCAATGCCCGTATTTGATGGAATAGAGTCGTGTCTAGTGAAGAATCTCAAGTTCACTCCTTCCATATGCCTTCGTATTGTGGGACGTACTTCATACGTTGGTATGTAACCAAAAATGTGTATTTAACTAAAACGTACGTAGCTAAGTTCTTAATTAGATAGCGATTAATTTATGTAATGTAACATGTATCTATGTACATGTTTTTGTTCTTGCAGCGTTGGTGGGATTTATAGCAGTATGTATTCCATTTTTTGGAGGGCTGCTAGGTTTTTTCGGGGGTCTTGTTTTCTCCTCAACGTCCTACTTCGTAAGTTTATACCTAAACTAAGTTTATGCATGAGTATATGAATGGTATGCTAGTGTGTAGAACATTTTCAATATTACAAAATAATATTTTCTTTTGATTTTTTTGGCAGTTGCCATGCATTATATGGTTGGTCATGAAACAACCAAAACGTTGGAGCTTTCATTGGATTGCATCTTGGGTAAATAAGCTAATTACCTTTTCTTCCAAACATATATAGAATAGGTTAAAATGTAATGCTAATTGATATCTTAATTATGGAACATAAATTATTTACAGATCTCGATAATCGTTGGAGTTCTAATCGCGGTTTTAGCACCAATAGGTGGAGCCAGACAAATCGTCCTTCAAGCCAAAACCTATAAGATGTTCTCTTAGTTAAATTTGCAATGGTTTCTCAGTCTTTATTATTATTTGATAATGGATTATAAACAATGTTTTAAAATATTTAAGTTGGTTGCCTTAAATATATAGACGATGGTTTATGTCATTACCAAATTTTTAGTACAAAAATAAAGGCAAATGATTTAAACTCACTAGATTAACTTTTGCCGTTGGGAAGAAATCCATCTTTGGCCATTTCAGCAAGCACATCAAGAACCACATCCATATTCCCTTCTCTATGATTGATCTCCACAAGCACTTTGGCTTGCTCTGCTTCGCTCAGTTCACAGCTTCTTAATACATTCGCAATCACACTATTTAATTCATTAACCTTTCCTTCCTTGTGCAATGTTTTAACCAGAGCAATCACTGTCACAGTATGGAGAAGAAATCCGGATTTTACCATCTCTTTGTACAGACTATATGCTTTGCGGATATCTCCTCCTCTGCAATGACCATGGATCATAACGTTGTATGCTGTTCCATCGGGTTTATGGTTTTTCTCAAGCATGGATTCGAAAACTTGATCAGCTTCAGTCATCATGCCTTTCATACAGAATCCTTTAATAAGAGATACCACGCTTTTGAACTCGATGTTACTGCAGTTTTCTATGAGTGTGTGATATGTGACGTCGCTAGGGACTGATTCTTCGTAGAACAGCTTGAGCAAAAGTCTTTTTGCTTCTCTTGTTCGAGCTTGTTTGTTAAGCCCGTTGATCAGGACACTGTAAGTGACGACATCAGGCAATACGCCTTTCTCGACCATTTCGTTGTGCAACTGGATCGCTTTTTGCAGATCGCCTTCCATACAATAAGCATTGATCAAGGCTGTGTAAGTAAATTCATCAGGTGGAAGGCCAACTCTCAGCATTTCATCGAAAAGATCACAAGCTTCCTTTGTCCTTCTCTGTTCACAAAACCCTTGGATTAGTGATGAGTAGGTGATTGTATCAGGTTTAATACCTTTTGCAACCATTTTCCTTTTCACTCTAAGCGCCTCATCAACATCGTAACTTCTACAAAACCCAGATAATACTGTGCTGTAGCTCACTACATCCGGAGTCAAACCTTTCTCCTTCATATCTTCGAGAACTGCTATCGCATCTACCATTTTCCCAGCGATACAATGCCCATTAATCAGAGCATTATAAGTCACAACCGAAGGAGAAAACCCATTATCAATCATCTCTTTCAAAACCCGATAGGCTTCATTCATATACCCCTTTTGAGAAAACCCATCAACCAACGTCGTGTATGTACGCTCATTCGGACAAAGCCCTCTAACCCGCATCTGATCAAGAAACTCAGTAGCCCGGTTCATATTCCCAGCCTTACACATACTATGTATCAACGAAGTATAAGTAATAACACTAGGTGACAACCCATGTCTCAGCATCTCCGCATGCATCACAAGAGCTTGATGAAAATTACCTTCTTTACAATAACCTTTAATAAGCGTATTATACGTAACTTCATCAAGCGAATACCCTCTCTTATTCATCTCCGTAAGCACAAAACTTATCTCCTTCATCCTACCTTCTCTACATAACCCGTTAATAACGACATTATACGAAATCAAATTCGGCTCCAAACCTTTTAACGCCATTGATCTCAAAAGCTCAAACCCATCATCAATCTTACGCAACTTACAATACCCATCAATCAAAGTATTGTAAGTAACAACATTAGGTAAACAACCTTTCTTCTCCATTCGATCGAAAAACCGCAAAGCAACATCTAAATTCCCAGCTAAACAAAACCCTCTAATCAAGATATTGTAAGTAAACACATTAGGAGAAACTTGGCTTTGCAACATTTCTTTAAACACATTCTCAGCAAAACTAATGTTCCTCTTAGATCTAATCGTAGCATCTAACACCGCATTGTACGACAAAACTCCAGGCATAAAGCCATGAGCTTGAGATAAATGAACAATACTCAAAGCCTTATCAATCAAACACAAACGAGAGTAAGATTTCACTACCAAATCGAAAACAGAGGAAGTTGAATTACACAAATCGTAAGTCTCTTGTAACGAACGGAAGACGAGAGAAGCGTCTTCGTCGTCTAGGGTTTTGGCTGCGACATCTTCGGCGAGGGTTTGAGCTGTTTTGTAGAGTTTGAATCTTGTGAGGATGTGAAGAGTGATGCATTTGCAACGGAGAGTGAAGAATTGATGTGGGTTTGCCCAAGTTAGGAACTTGAGGATTAGTTCTTGATTGTTTTGAGATTTGAGGAGGAGATTTGAAGCTGCTTCTGGAGTGAAATTTGCAGAGAGATGATGAAGTTGATATGGATGACGTTTGAGAAAGGTTAAAGCTTTATCGGCGAGAAGTGAATCTGAAGGAGAAGAAGTGAAGGTTGAGAGAGATCGTCGAATTAGGGTTTTAGAGAGAAACATTTAAGAAGTTTAATTTAGGGTTTTAGGAAGAGAAATGCTCGAAGAAGAAGAAGAAGACGATGCCCAATTGATCTCAGCCGTCCGATCATTCTTCATCTGTGGCTTTTTTTTTTTTTTTTTTTTTCACTGAAAGATTCTTTATCTCTATATTATTAAAAGAGAAATACAAATAAAAATGGGTCGGGTTAGAATCAGAAAATTGACCCGAAATTCTGAAATCGGATCTTTGAAATTTTTTTGGAATATAAATTCGAATTAATAATGAAAAATCGAAATAAAATCAAATATTTATGGAAATCAAATAAAATCTGATTGTACTTATGGTAACTAATAATAAAAGCATATTCCAAACAATATTATACATTAATTACATATAATAAATTTGTTCATATATTTTTGGGACTAATTCCATAACAATCAACGTTTTTGTCATTATTCGCTCATTTTAGTCAATTATCATTAATTGAAAGATATTTTACTTGCTTCTAAAGATTTCTAGAAAATTTATCACAAATAACCCATCTGTTTTATAAATTAAATTGATATTTTTATTTTGGTCGTGTAAATTAAATAGATATTTTTATTTTGGTCGTGTAAATTAAATAGATATGAAATCCATGTAACTAATTTTAATTTAATTAGATTAAATCGAAATTATGATATTTTCATACCTATAGCTTACCAAAGAAGTTTAATTTTCAATTTATAAAAATTTCTTGAATATGATTTTAGAATTATTCAACAAGATGATAAGTATTTATTAAATTTTGTGAATCATGAAAAATAATAATTAATTTTTAATCATTATACTTCATCTTTCAATCTCTCATCTAACAAATAAGATACATATTCTATTATTACTATGTCCAAACTTCATTTTATTGTATGACTAAATAATATTCCCATTAGAACTGTCAAAGCGAGTTGATTCGTCCTGTTAAGTCCGTTTTGCGATAGACAAAAAATATTTTGACTTGTAGTTAGTCGGTCCGCACGACCCGCGGGTAGCATATATGAAATACAAACCCGTCCCGCGAATGTATGCGGATTTGCGGGATTGTCCATGGATTTTGTTTAAATAATTTTAAAGTAACCAAAATTAAAAATACTACTAAAATAAATAAATAAATCAAAATACTATTAAAAGTTTGTTTAAATTACCACATGTTGAATAAATTATAATTTTATCAATAAATACTAATATGCGGGCTGATCCGCCAACCCGCGGATGGAAACCGATTAAACCTATGACCCATTGCGAATTAATCCATGTGGCCCGCTTATTTGCGGGTTTAATATATTTTCCCAAATCTGCCCCATAATGAGATGATGTGGACTCGACTCGCGGTTTTTGACCTATTTTGACTGCTCTAATTCCCATGAATCGTCTAATTTTAGAATTTTAAAACACAAAATTCTATTTTGTAAATCATAATTAATATGATGGGTATATTTATAAACAATTTTACATTTTCTCTACAATTCGTTATTATGAATATTTATAAGTATACTACACGATTCGTTCTACTAAAAAACACACACAATATTAAACGCAACGTATGTAAACTAATATTCTCCCGCGGTGGACCGCGGATCCGATCCTAGTTATATAATACAAGGGTGAAATACAAGGGAGGAATACGTTTTTGGAATGCGGTTTTGAAATACAAAAGCCGGCGAAAAACAAAGAAATCCCCGGAAGCTAAAGCCCGATACACGGGAAACACAAGATAGAATACAATAGTCAAAAAGTAAAGCTCTCGAAATCACCGGGAAAGTCGGAGGAGAACACTAGTCGCGGAACTAAGAGCTCAAAAGTCGCATACTAGAAGACCTACAACCGGAAACGGAGTAGAACCAAGGATAGAGGAAACCGCGAAAAAATAACCCAACTAGAAACGAATATCCCGAACATAATAAGCAACGACCGCGAATCTAAAACCTAACCACCTAGTCTTCTACCGAACAAGTCTAAATCTAGAACTTTGCATCCCCACGAAAGGTTAGCCTTACAAGACCAGACAACGAACAGACCACGAGAGAAAACCTATTTATTAGTCTAATCTAGAGGCGGTGGAAAGAGACAAACGTAAAAGATTCAACGAACAAAGATGGGATAAAACGAAAGCTATCCAAAACCTAGCCAACACGACCAATCCTCGGAGCTTTCATGAGATAACAGAGAGCAAAACCATGACCCAAACTATTCCATAGGCAACACCAACAAAGCCTACCAACAACAGCTAGCAAAAGCCAAACACAAACACAAATATACAACTACTAACATCCGAAAAGAGGAGCGATAAGGCCATAAACCCGACAAGGAACAAAAACGAAATGTCTCTGTCACCTCGCAACCACCGGCATCCAAAACCCGACAGAGCCACAACCTATCATCCGCTGCAGAAGAACCACAACCCAAAGACACCACCACCAGCAAATCCTGAAGCAGAGATCTTCCGCCACCATTACCAAAATCGAGAACCATGCCTCTCCTAAATCACCACCTTGATAATCACTATCTCCTCCACAAAACCGATTTGTTCTCGAGAAAACCAGAATTGAGAAGAGACAAAATCA